AGTGCAATTAATGTATGAGGGACAGGACAAGGATAATAAACCGAAAAACAGCTTAAAAAGCTGGGGGGTCTTGATGGTCCAGATTGCTGATGGTCTGAGTCCTATGTACATGATTCATTGACCTCTTCCTAGAGCTTTCTGAGAGGCATTTTTTATGCTCAGCATCAGGGCAAGGCCTTCGACATTTTTTATCCTGGGTGTCGCTTCAGACTTTGTGTTTCAGCTTAATCACTCATCAGAAGAGGGCGAAATGGAAAGGGCACCCAGTGAGTGGAGCCTGGGCAATGTGTGACGAATGGGAGACGGGCATCCCTCAGCCTCTCTTACTGCCCACAGAGTTTATGATCCTTCACAGGGGTGGGGGGGGGTGTCAAGTCCATGAAACAGGACACAAGCTTTCCTGTCTTGTGAAGTCATTATCACAGACGAGCCACTAAGCCTGTGTTGGCCCAACTTTTCTTGACTGCTTCAGAGATGGGCCAATGGGGAAGTATACCCAGGTGGAGACATGGGTCTTCAGTCACAAATGTCACTGAACATCCATCAGCTTAAGAGAAAGGGCTCTGAAGCCACACACCTGGGTTCCAATGGATCAGCTCTACCTTCCTCCTGACTGTGTGACTTCAGGCTGGTTACTTAACTGCTCTGTGCCTCAATATGCTCATCTGTAAAATGGGGGTTCTACAATGGTGGTGAAAGAGGGGTAGGAGGGGGGGTTGAAAGACAAAAGCTTACCCGCTGAAACACATGTCTCAGGAAATTATTTCCATAAAGAATCTGAACCACTTTTTTTTAAAAACTAAAAACGCATTTGTTAGTGTTTATTTCATTTGATCTTGTGCTGATTCTTGGCAGGCACAACACTTAAGCCATTACTTTTAAAAGCTCTAAATCAAACCACTGCCTGGTGGCAGGAAGGCCTCTGCTCTGGGCGCACTCCACCCACATTTTGATGGAAGCACCAGAGGGCCTCGGCCTTTGGGTGGGGAGCTGGCACAGGCAGCAGTGAGTCAGCCCAGCTGGGCCCCAGATGCAGGACTCAGACGGGGTCAGTGGCCCAGTTGGCTCCCACAGAACCAGGCCCAGCCCCCTACAAAGGCCAGGGCCCTTCTGAATAACGCGGATGTTATTTGATTCCAAGAAAGGGTCTTACGCTTGGCGGTCAGCTTCCCTTCTGTGAGCTCTGGCTAAGGGCATCCTGGGGGCTGGGGCGGGGGGCCCGGTGGGGGCTGCGAAATCTAACAACGCTTGCTTTGAAACAGGGCTGGCTCCCCAAGCAAGCAACCTGGTGGTCCTCTCAGATCCAGGTGGCAAACTGTCACATCTCACAAGCCAATTCTAGTGACAGTTCTTTAGAACTGCATGGGGTTCTTGCAGGAGAGCTGGGGTGGCATGTGGGGTGAAGATGGCCTTGGGAGATGGCTGCAGGAGGCACGGTGGAGTGGGTGAGACACCCCCACACAGGCGGGGCAGTCAGTGGGAAAAGGAGGGGCGGGCCCAGAGGTGAGGGACAGTATGGCCGAGAGGGCAGCCCACTGCAGCCTGCCTGTCAATTCCATCATCACAATGGCTGAGAGGAGGTCCCGACATCAGCTCTCTTTCAATACGCCTTTGCACTGCGTCTTACAACCTGCTCAGCCCTGGACGTCCAGGCAGTCTAACTGATCAGCATTGGCAGAACACAGTGCAAACCTATTTGCCATCCTGGCACAAAGCTACTCTGATGTTGCCATGCCTCTGACCTCACCTATCACCACCTTCAAAGGAGAAGGCAGCTTTCATAGTAACCTTGAACCTGGACTGGCCCGTTTGCTTGGACACACGCCCCTTCCACACAGCCTTCGCAAGGCTGGCCCTCACTTCAATGGCATTTGCTGAAATGGGCCTAACACTCTTGCTGGCCAATCAAAACACCACCTCGCAAGGCTCAGGGCTGTCAAAAGTAATAGCCAGGCAGAGACTAGCACCATGCACATCCTAATAAAAACACATGCTCTTCATCACACCCACCAGACATGGGCATCCTTCCAAATGTTCAGAAATGGAGCCAGAAAAGAGTAGGACCCTGTACAGAGCTGCCCGGAATGACCCGCACTCCACTGGGCCCAGAAGGCATGGCAAAGGGACGCCTGCACATGGGGCCACTCTCCCGGCCAGTGCGTCTAGACGGGGACAGGCAAGCGATGCCAATGTGCTGGGGAGTCCCAGTTCTTGTGATTGGCATCATTTGAAGTTTTGCGGATGCTGGAAGCAGGGGACTAGAGCCGAAGGAGCTGAGATTGGAAGAGGCGTGGGTGACCAGCAGGGCACTCCACAGGAGATGGGAAGGGGGCAGCCACTGACCCCCCAAGTAGTGGGGCTGTTAAGGGGCCTGAAAGGGTCATGAGGAACCACCAATCGAGCAGGGGGCTGAGTCCACAGGCCCCATGACCACATTCTAGATGTGGAGATGGACCCTAGCTGGGGTAGAGACGGAGGGGTCCTAAGGAGGTATGGATGGGTCATGTGGCGCCATGCAGAGGCCATGGGCTCCGGCCTCCGGGGCTTAAGTCACAGCTCCCCCCTTATTGGCTCTGTGACTTGAGCAAAGGCTTAATTTCTGAGCATCGATTTCTTCACCTGTCCAAGAGGATTAATACAGCATCCACCCCAGGGTTGATCTGAGAATCCAACTAACTGGTTTGTGCAAAATGCCCAGCATGCTGTCTGTCACCCCAGGAGATATTAGCTACTGTGATTACTGAAGACCAGAACAAAGGCAGGCTAATAACACAGCAGCTGTATTTACCGTACTTCCCCATGTATAAGACGCATGCTGTTTTGAAAAATTTGGGGTCCTAAAACTGGGTGTGTCGTAAAAAATCTACAACAATGAATGCAACAACAAGTGCGAAAAAGCGGGAAATGCGAGTAAAAAAATATACAACCACTGTATAAGACGCACCTAGTTTTTAGACCCCAAAATTTTCGAAAAAGGGTGCATCTTATACATGGGGAAATACGGTTTGTAGTGGTGCCACCATGGTTAGTCCTCACAACACCAGTGCAAGGGCCATTATTACTGTTCCCCATTTTACACAGGAGGATACTGAGGCTCAAAGACATTGGCACATATGTTGCTAGTTAATATTTGAGTGCTTACCATGTGCCGTGTATTAGCTCGTTGAACCTCCACAACAGACATAGGAAGTAGGTACTATGATTATCCCCATTTTACAGATGGGAAACAAGCACAGAGAGGTTAAGCAACTGTTTCCAAGGTCAAACAGCCTGTAAAACGCAGACAGTAGAGTTGAACCAAATCCAATCTAGCTCCAAAAGCCATGCTCTTTCAACTCAGCTCTACCTCCCAAGTTTAAGGCTAACTCATGTTGCCAAAACCTCCAACACAGCCCAAAGCAAGAAGAAACGTGTCCTGAGAGGGTCCCATGAAAGCCTCGAGGATGAGTATGGCGTGCTGGGCTGAGCAGCCCTCCCAGGACCCAGGGTCCCACTGGTCAGTGCAGCCATGTAACCAAACACATAATGTGCCATCAAGTGTGCCAGACTGCCTTTTCTGTGGCCTTGTATGTCACTGCATATGCAGGCAAACCTCTGACCTCGCTCCAAATCCTTGGACCTTTGGGAGACGTTGCCGAGTGTTTACAGAGGATTGAGGTCAGCCGGTCGCCAGCCTTCTTCCTTCCAGAGGAACCATCTGTGCTCTCCTGAGTGATGACAAGCTGAAGAGAGATGGGCTCCGGCCGGGCCTGGCTCTGACTCAACGTCACCCAGCGCTTCCTCCCCACCTGTGGCAGCACCTCAACGCTGGGGGCCACCCAGAGGAGCAGGCCCACAGGCAAGTCAGCTGAGGACAAAGCCCTGAAGCCACAGGCCAATCTCGGAGTCGTCACCTTCCATAGAACGCAAGGGAATACAAACCCCACGCCAAGGGTGAAAGGATTTACCGTCTCCTTCCTGACTGTACGCGGTCATCTGAGCAGAGGCTGAAGAGATACAGAGCGTTGCAAAGGACACAAGCTGCTCAGCTGCCTCGTGTCGATACTGACGAGGGCTTTGCTTCATTGGATTGCTCCTACATTTCACTTGGGCCTAGGGCCTTCCACAGCCTCTGCTCTTCTGAATAGATCTCAGAGGTCCTAGCGATCTACTAGTCGAGGAAGGATTAAGCTCTCAGTCTAGAGAACTGAAGCTCCATCCAGTCCAAGGCCCCCCTTTTGACTGCTAACACTTAAGAGAGCCTTTTACCCTCTGCTCTTGGCGTAAACAGCCTCCTCGCTGGTGTGTGCTCCCGTGGGGACTCAGGCCATGCAAACTTCCAAGCTAAACTTTTGCAACAGACTTCTCTTGGTCCAGCATCCCAAACTCCTGGAAACTTTCATGGAGACAGAGGTGCCTACAGCTGTCTAAGGCTGTGCCTGTTCTAGAACATTTCAAGGGGAGCCCTACTCTGCCCCCCAAGGCTTAAGGTCTGGTTCTTACTTCACAGCTCAGGACACTTGGAATCAGGTTCAGCTTGTGCTTTCTGGGGACTTAGGACAAGATAGTTTGGGAGTCACATCCTGGTCTTCTGAACTGTCTCCGTTTCAGAAACAGATGTGGTTTCTCGACTACACCCTGGGGAGGGAGGGACGGTGTCTGTCCTGCTGTGCCTTCACCCCTCTACACTTAGCCCTGTGCCTGGCGCACAGCAGGGGCCCAGAAAATCTTTAGATCTGACTGTATGATGCCTGGGGTCGACAGACTCTTTTTGAATTTGAAAAGCCTCAGATGCAAATGCAACTGTCCTCAAATCCAACTTTCCGAAGCCACAGCGGCCAAGTACAGTTGTTCATGACACTGGTAAACCGCACAGGACGATTTTGAAATAACTGGTACGATCAAGCCCAACCCTGTGTGGACAATGTGGTTTAATGAGGAGCCCACTGACACTGTAATCATCTCAGGGAGATTGCAACCAGCTGTGTGTGGAACGGAACAGAAGCACGCCAGAAAGCAAAGTAGGAAGAAGTATTTTAATAGCTCAAACTCAAAGTCATTGCGCTCCCAGTTCTGAAGAGATTCCCAAAAGAGGCAACTCTGGCTGTACTAGAAGCCAGCGTTCACCCTCCCGTGGTCTCGGCACCCTCTGGGTGCTGACTCAGAGGAAAGTGTGCACACGCCCAGTGCCGTCTGGCTCCCATGGGACCTTCCTCTTATCTATGTGTTATATCAACTGCCTTGGTTGGGCTAGGATGATGACTCAGTTAAAGGAGACAAATGTTGACTGTGTAAGCAGGAACAGTCCAAGCTGGCAAGGAAAAGCACACTGCATACATACGATACAGAAGGGCGAGTCTCTGCCTGAGCAGCTACAACGTTACATTTGTTTTGCCTGCAAGTAATCAAGGAGGAGTCTGCTGGCCGGGGTGTTTCTGCTGAACAAGCAACATGGCGGTCCAAAGTCTTGGCTGTCCCGTGCCACCAGCCGAGTCATCGCGCCTCATCCACCGGAGAGTCCTTGAGGGAAACATGAAGTCCAGCTCCTGCCTCTGCCTAGGGGTCGATTTCTTCAGGAATCACCGTGATCATAATGTCTTCATTGCCCCTGCGGACAACCATGTTCAGGGTGCTCTCCTTTTTGATGACGTCGCTGACGTCGTTGGCAGAGACCACCGACTGTCCATTGATGCTGATTATGACATCATTTTCCTTGAGCCCGCCACTGCAACACAAAGGGGAACACGGTTGTGATGTTTCCATTTCTCCTGGTCTAACTGCCACGAAAGCTGATCAGCTTTACCTTGACAGAGGCACAGTTTAGTACCTAAGAGCCCAGAGCAAACAGGGTGCGATGATGGGTAACTCTCGTGAGAATGGCTTAACCCACCAATGGACTGCGTTATTTCCTTTTGCGATTTTTCAGATCAAATGTCAGTCATGCCCATTACAGAAATGCCTGCCAGCACTTGTATGATCTGTGACAGGTGGACAACAAATGAGGCAAGGATGTACCGTATACCATCTACCATGTACCACAACCAAGGCCAACTTTCCTGTAATGGGTGTCACAACTCAGAGAACTGTTCCTACAGAGATAGGCGGAGTGGTTGTATCATGTGGCACTTTTGTGTTATTTTTGTGTAACTTTAGCTCTTATGTGTGACAACATCAAATAGGCTGTCGTGGGCTTTAATCATCTAGCACAGAGGTCAGCTAACGTTTTCTGTAAAGAACCAGATAGAAAATATGTTAGTGTTTGCAGGCCACACTGTCTTCTGTCACTACTCAGCTCTGCCATTATGGCCCAAAGCCATCATAAACGATATGTAATCTACTGGGTATGGCTGTGTCCTAGTAAATCTGCATTTATGGACACCGAAGTTTGATTTTCACATAATTTTCATATGTTGTAACATACTATTCTTATTTTAAATTTTTTCAAACATATAAAAATGCAAAATCTATTCTTAGCCCATGGGTAGTACAACAGCAGGCAGCCCCCAGACTCAGCCCCCAGGAAAGAGTTTGCTGGCTTTGGTCCTGAGCTGAGCCGGGTTGGAAGGCCTGACGGGCAGGACTGACCAAGGACAACCGACCATTTTGTCCAGGATCCTCACAATCAACCGAGTGGACATGAAAAGAACACGGCCCCCTCCCCATGACCCCCAGGAACCAGGGAAAACAGTTCTAACTCACGCTTCCGCTGGGGTATCAGGAATCACTTCAATGATATACGCTCCTGAAAGCACATCCGGGAAGTCTCGGTGGCGGTCCTTCAGCTCCTTGGCTTTGCTGCTTGGGAGAAAAAGCACCTGTGTTAATGAACATCAAGTGCCAACGGGCCTTCCTCTGAGGAGACCCAGCTCCCACCCGCTTCCTCTGTCTCTGATTCTAACGTAAAATTCCTCCAGGAGTTTGGATTCTGCGTTAAACTACCTCTCTAGCAGAGTCAGAGATCTACTGGATAACAGTGAGGGAAGTGTTTTACCATTATCATTAATTTTATTAGCTAATTGATAGTAGCTACCACTTAAAGAGTCAGTACAGTATAGCGGTTGGCCTGGTTTGGAGCCCCAGCTCTGGCACTTTCTAGCTGTGTGACTTTGGGCAGTTGCTTAACCTTTCTGTGCCTTAGTTTTCTCACCTGCAAAATAAGGATAGTGACAGTCCTGCTGTTGGGAGGATTAGGTGAGATCATCTAGCTAGAGCACCAGTCCCAGCGCCTGGCGCAGAGCAAGCAGGTGACAAATAGTGGCTAGTATCCATGTAGCTAGTGATTATCACCACCACCCACTGATCCAAGACTTAACACACATGAAATCACTCGGTTCTCAGCACACACCAAGATGCCTGCACTGTTACCCTCATCCTGGAGAGGAGGAAACTGAGGAGTTCAGAGGCCAAATCATTCCCCAAATCACAAGCTAGGAAGTAGCAGAGCTGGGAGGAGAACCCAGGAAGCCGGACCCCAGGGCCTAGACCTCTGTCTCCCATAGTTCCAAGCAAGAATTGGTGCACATGTTTACCTTGGCAAATCAGTCCATATTCTGAAGAGCTCATCTAACCTAGAGTCATGTGTTCATAATTAATTAATAGTTCATTAGTTATAACAATATATATTAACATCTACATTAATATGTTCTACTCTTTGCCGACTTCACCTACAACAGTTTCAGCCATGCCCTTAGTCTAAACCAGGACTCCCGTGATTACGCCGGGTTTTTTCATCAAGGGCAAAACACCGGTATGTTATGGGCCTGGCAGTCACATGCCACAACTTCCACCGGCTCCGGGAAAACAAGCCCATCAGTCACACTGGGCCAGACCCGCATTCCTGGAGCCACAGCCCACAGGTACAGCACAGCTAATGACGGGCAGGGCACTGTGGGGCTGAGGGAGGCGCTTGGGGCACTCCCGGAATGTGGGTTTCAACAGACCAAGCGGTGAGAGGAAGGCCTGAGGCAGAGTGACCAACAGTCCCTGCTGTTCAGGCCTGCCTTCAAAGAGGAGGGCAGGATCTTCTAGAAGGAAGGACCTGCTCAGAACACAAAAACAAAATGAAAGATAAAACAAGAGGCCAAGGATAATGACCCCTCCTCTCGTTCCTAATGTTACTTAATTTTAACCAGAAACTTACGGCAGAGGTATCTTAAGGCAGCAAAAGGCTTCTCTTCCAGGGGTGCCAGTGAGCACCTACTAAAGTTCAGGTTTATTTAAATTTAGGACACAAACATCCTGTTACCCACCTGGATGTGAGTGACATCATTCGGATGCCAATATACTTCTTCTTGGTGATGGCTTTGCCTAGTGTGACAGCAAAAGGACAGCAAGAGGTCAGACTACTTGGTGGCTGTGTCGGGGACACCAGGACCCATGAGATTCAATCCCCAAGTTTGCAATGTGAAGTCAGGGCCATGGGGGCATATGCTGAGGTTGTGGCTGGCACCCCACCCTGCCGTGGGACCTTGCAAAGTCCTGTCGTTGCAGTTAACGGCCAAAAACCTAGGCGTGACCCTTGATTCCTCTTTGCCTCATTGTGACATCTGATAAGGGTTCTACCCCTCATAAAAATTCAGAAAGTAACCCCTTCACTCCGCCCTAGTCTGGGTGACTGGGAGAGCCTCCAACTGATCTAGCAACTTCCCCCGCCCCTCCAGCACAGCCTGCCCCCAGCCCTAAGAGTGCCCTTTTAAAGGCATCAACCAGAATATGAAGTCCATCTTTTCGATGCAGTTAAAATGCAACCCCAGCCCCTCATCACAGCCTGCTGTGACCCTGGCAACTTCTTTCCACTTCTGCAAGTTTGCTGCGTCCAGCCACACAGCCCACTCGCAGGTCCTGTGCCCACTTAGCTACACCCATGACAGAGGCCTGGAACCAGCCGTTCTTCTGTCAAAATGCTCTCTCCCCACGTCCCTGCTCGCTCCCTCTCCTTCAGGTCTCAGCTTGGGAGGCGGTTCCTGGCCACACTGTCTCCACTGGCTGCCCCTCCCCTGGCCTGCCACCCCGCTTTATTTTCTGGGAAGCACTTGTTGCTATCTGAAATTGCCTTGCGTGTTTACTGTCAGCCTCCAAAGAGGAGGGTAGAATGTAAACATTACACCTGCAAGGGAACCCCAGCCTGACCCAGAGCAGATGGGTCCATAAACATTTGTGGAATAAACGATCTCCCTGAATCTCAGTTTTCTCATCAGAAAAATGGGCCTAATAATACTCACCTAATAGGACAAAGGAATTAAATGACACAAATGAATAATGACGTGAAATGATGTTTAGAAATCACCTCGGACTGTGCCTGGCATGTATAAAGTATATGCGACACTCACAATCATTGGTCAAAAATGGTCGCATATCTACGACCTGATTGGGGGGGGGGGGGCTTAATAACGTGCATTCCTTCCCCTTCTACAATAAATACAAAAGCTTGGGTGGATCCTCAGGTGTGTCACTTCCTGCCCCCAGACCCCAGGAAGCAGCCAAGCCTCAGGCCTGCATCTCCCACCCGCGGGCTGCCTGGGTCTCTCTTTACCTTTGGCCTGTCGGTCATGGGACTCTGTTAGGAACTTTTTAATCTTATCAGACGGGATGGCAAAGGAGATGCCAGCTGTCACTTTCAGAGTGTTAATTCCAATCACTTCGCCATCCTGAAAAGCAAGATGGAAAGGGCTTACTGAATCCACGAAGGTTTACCAGCAGACGTGCACCGAGAAAATGGAGAATTTATGGAAAAGGAGTCTTTGAGGAGCTTGTGGGGAGCTGGCAGGAGGAGGTTCCGGGGTTGAAGCGGGAAGGCAAGGCTTGGGCAGCGTTAAGTCAAGCTCAGCAAGGGAAGAAACAACACACACTCAGGGCTCAGTCCTCAGGGATCCCCGTGCTGTAAAAACAGCTTCAAGCAGATAGCTTCAAGACACACATTTGTTGTTTTCCCGGGGAGTATGTTTGTAAAACCTCTGAGGTTTTTAGGTGGCCCTCCACACCCTCCTGCTCCTCCCTTCTTGATGATCTTCAGATTCCTCTGCTGATATCAGCAGAAACAACCACAGCCCTTAGGGCTGACATGCTTCTCCGGAGACGATGCAGGGGCGTCTCTCTCAGACAGCAGCCTTACGGGCGCTGCAGGGGGCTGGGGGAGCACAGTCTCGCCTCATTTCCTCTGCTTGTCTCCAACCAGCTTTAAGTCATGGAGGAAGCCAGTTCACAGGGCGTGCTTCAATTCAAGATAAATTCACAGTTTAATGAATGCTACTCAGTAGGAAATGATCCTGGAATAACAGGCTTGCCTCACGCCATTCGACCATTATCCTGAATACTATTGTTAAACCGTTTGTTCAACTCAGGCTTAAAAGGGAAAACAGCCAAGAGAGTATAAATCACTCTTGGCACACCTCCGCAGCACTGAGAATTCAGTCCCCGACTCCAAGGGGCCACCCAGGAGGCACTGCCATCCTGGGCCTCGCTCAAGACGGCCTGTTTCACCGGCTGTGAGTGACAGTTGAGCTGGGTGTCCCCTGAGCTGCGCCCTCACTCTGACAGTCTGATCCTGAGGCTTCCCTTTTCATGCTTACGTAGCTAAACACAGAATTAAGTGACATCTTTGTGAGCGAGGTAACTCCTCATTCCAGCCAGGTCATCAGAGAGGGCTCCCAGCCAAGACAAAGATCGCAGACAAGCCAAACCAGCTCCTCCAGCAGCCCGGAGACTTCGTTTGAAGGACTGTGCCTCTCAGTGACAGGCCACAACTGCTGACATCTTCAAAATAAAGGTCTGCTCCTGTAGCTACTCCCGCATTGGACCCGAATTCTACTGCGTAGACTTATAACTTTGAAACACGAGCGCGTCCACTGGCGTAACATTTTCAACCCTCAAGTGCAGCATACCTTACTCTTTCCAGAAAAGATAAGGGTAATTTGCAAGGATACAGTGCATTCACAGAGTTCATTTGAAAAGAATTAGGTAATGTGCTTGGCAAGTTCATGTCTGAAAAGAAAGCAAAAAANAAGATAAGGGTAATTTGCAAGGATACAGTGCATTCACAGAGTTCATTTGAAAAGAATTAGGTAATGTGCTTGGCAAGTTCATGTCTGAAAAGAAAAAAAAAAAAAAAAAAAGCACGTACATAGATGTTCAGAAAGGCCTTACCAGGTTGACTAATGGGCCTCCAGAGTTTCCATACTGAAATGAAGCAAAAATTAAAAAGGTTATGAGTTCGTGTCCTCAAATGCTCCAACCCACTTCCCTGCCTGCCAGGTTCCTGAGTACAGGTTCTTTCCTGAGATTTGTTCCTGTCAATCTAATATTGTGCTAGAAAAGAAGGACCTGACCCTTTTTTAAAACGTTTTAGATATGCCAGAAATGGGAATTGTTTTTTCTCCAAAGCCCAGGGGCCAGCTATGTATTCCCTCAAACATCCAACACAGCTTTCTCTTGGCAGCAGGCTGGCCGCCCACCTGCCCCAGTTCCACGAAATTCAAACTTCCACGCCCCCCCACCTTTTTGATCCCTACTTTGCTGCTGGGTCTAGAAATCCACATGGTTTGTTCTATTTCTGTTACTTCAGGCAGATCACAAGAAAGCTTGGGAATAAAGCCTACGAGAGGCAGTGAGTGGCACACAACACACTGTGTCTTATTTATTAGACAAATGGGGAGAACATTGCATTTTAGAAACGTCAACCCTATTGGGAGACAACTGAAGTGGGGAAAAAGTGATTTTCAAGAAGACTCCATTTATGAGACTGTGTGGAGTAACCCCTGGCCTTGTCAGACATCGAATAGTGTAGGGGTACGGCTCAGACTGCACCCCAAGGCAGAGCACACACCTCCTGGGGGCCACAACACCCGTGCCAGGGCGAGGGTCCCTCCTGCCATGAAGGTACCAAAGCAGCCCCACTGAGGGTCCGCTGCCCCTGAGGGAGAGGGGAGCTTCTGCAGGCTACACACCTTGGCAAAGCTCAAGTCCCCCTCGCAGCAGCCCCTGGAGATGGCGAACTGGCTGAGGACCAGCCTGCGGCCTCATCTGCTTGAGGGCTTCAAAGGGAACTCCCTGCACAGCATCTTGAGGCTCTGACTTCACGCCCCCCACCCCAACCCTGGTTCCTAAGCTGGACTTTCTGAAAACCCGCCCCGACCCCATCGGGTGGCAGCGGCTGGGCTCACGTTGATGATGGCGTCTGTCTGGATGTAGTCCATGTCCGAGTTCCGGAGCCCCAGTTCTTTGCCGCCACGCTGGGTAGTGCTGACGATCCCGGTGGTGACAGTGTTTTGAAGGGAAAACGGGCTTCCAATGGCGACCACGAACTCTCCTGGCCGCAGCTCTGAGGAGCGGCCAAGCAGCAGCACAGGCAGCTTCCCCTGGAACCACAAGGTTGGCATCGCTGTGTCCAGTGGAGTTAACGGGATGGGTAAGCACGCAGATGCCATGGGATGCCAAGCAGTGGCAGAGCAATTGTAAACACCAGGCCTTTTGGAAACTGAGGTCAGGCCTACATCCCTTCGGGGCCGAGACCCACACCCCTTCCCACCCACAATAATCAATACTTTTTTGTAAGCTGTTGTGAGCACTGAAGCCACACGCCAAGGAAGCTGTGGAAAGGTGACTGGAGGTCGCCTCGGGACCTCAGCACATCTTGAAGCTATCAGCACAGACTTACTCTGAAACCTTGAGATCAGGAGACAAAGGGAGACAAATTTCGGATTTGGGGCAAGACTGCCTGGGACGTTCTTAGAGCATGAAGTCCCAGGGAGGATCCTGAGCCCACACGCCCCTGGGGAAGGGCGAGGATGGAGTTGCCTCCACTTATCACTGGCACATCCTCCCGAGTCATGGAGAGTCGAGAGCACTGAGAACAGGACTGCACTGACTCAGTTCAGAGCGTCTCTGTGCTAAGTACACGACCATTTCGGTGAGAGGCAGGGATGGGGTTGGGGTAGCAAGGCCTCCAGGACCCCCAGGTACCAACACCTAAGAGGTGGGCTCTCTTCTCGCCTGAAAAGGCCCTCCATCAACCGCCTCTGCCCTCTGCCCTCGGCCCAGGCGGACTGACTAACCCAGCAAGCCTGATACTGGATGCTCTGTGAAGGCCAGGCAGAGTCGAAGCCCCAAATAAGTCTTCAAATCAAAATGGGACAAAATATAGCCTGCTTGAGTCACCAGGCTGAGGAGAGCTGGCTTCCCACTGGGAAGGCCGTAGGCCCTCTCCCTCCTTCCTTCCCAGAACCAAGGAGCTCCTTTTGCTTCTGTTCTCGGAGTCAAACAAGCAGCTGCCCCAACAACACGGGCCAGGACCGGAAAGCAAAGGCCTAGCCCAGGCCTTGTGCTAATTGCAATTCAAGAGGCCTCATGTTTGTCCAACTCAAAAAAGCAAGAGGCGGGGGGTGGGGGGCGGTGGAGACCAGTGGTGCCATCAGCACCTCCTCTAGCTGATGACGTAGGGTGAGCACAGGGCCCATTTAGCAGATGAAGAAACTGAGGCTCCGAGCCACTGGGTGACCTGAGACACAACAAGGATTTCATCCTGGGGCTGTGACCCCGGGCCCAGACTCTCATCCAATACACAGCACCTCGCCACAAAGACCCCCTCCACCCCCCAATAATGAACGTGCTGCTCAGGAAGCTGCTGGGCCAGAAAGTTCATGGAGCGAGAACGGATCTAAGACCTCACACTGACCTTAAGAGAGGCACATGAGAAGGGCTGCCCCTCAGACCACAGATACTAAGAGGCCCAGTAGAGCCCTGTGGTCAAGAGCACAGACCCTGGGCCCGGCGGCCTGATGGGATCCTGGCCTGAGCTTACAACCACTCAGGTCCTCAGTGCGCTCACCTGGAGAATGAGAAGCACGTCGCACACGTATCGCATCAGTTAGTGGTGAGAACTGAGTGACTCAAGGCCTGAGCAGCTCTTTGAATAGCGCCTGGCTCATGTTAAGCGTCATGCGTCGGTTATTGTTATCAGTATTAGTATTTCCCAGCGGGGGAAACCCCACCAACTAAACTCCCACAAGCTCGTCTGCATCACCCAGCGCTCCACTCAGAAGGCTGATGGCCCAGGTCTGTCCGGACCGGGACTCCTTGTCCTTAAAGGTCACCTGAGGTCGGAGCGCATGGTGCTGCTGTGGAGGGGGCAGGCCTGCTGCCCCGCAGTTCCAGGCACACCAGTGAACTCAGCATGGCCTGTTTACCCTGGGCGGGCGCCAGCCACCCCTGCCAGGAATGACTTCATCCAACAGTCGCACGCAGCGGGTGGGCAGGCAGGAGTCGGGGCTGCTGATAGGGGAGGCCCACGGGGGACACTACCATGCCTTCAGGGCTGGGCTGGAGGGATGGCGAGCGGACACAGCTGCGAAGGCTCCTGGGGCTGGGTCCACCTGGCTGCCCAAGACAGCAGTTGCTTGTTACCAATTTCAATGCAAGAGATCAAATTCAAGTACAGAAAGGTGGGCCCAGCCCACGTCAGCTCAGCCGCAGGCTGGGAATCACCTCAGAAAGTTACATGGCAGGGCTCGTTGTGGAGATCTTAATTAGCACTTGCTCATCCCCCATCCTTGCCACGCCACCTCTACCTCCTGGGCAGAGAGCCAGACCCAGGCTCCCAGGTCTCGGGGGGTTCGGAGGCAGAGGGGCCTGAAGGCAGTGCTCCCTAGACCTCTTCGTTTCCAAGTCTGATCTCAGGCCCAGAGGATGACGTAAGGAGGCAAACGCTTGGCGGGAGGGGGCACAGAGCTGTGAGGACACAGGGGACAGACCCCCATGGGGGGAGAGTATCAAGGGCCCGCATGCTGCTCAACCACGCTGGCTGGGTAAGGCCAGGCCTCCAGGGGACGCCCAGAGAACAACCCCTTGGACAAGCGTGGTTTCAGCGCAGTGAAGCTGTCCACACTCGGGTGACCACGTGGGCTTGGACAAGTGGACATCAGCAACACAGCCCAAGGTCTCCCAGAAACCGAACACAGAGGAGGAAATTCAGGTCACAAGTGCCACTGAGTCAAAGCTGCACCAGTGGGCAACACCAATTCTCACCATGTACAAGCTTTCATTCACTCAAACATTTCTGGTTATGAACAATAATCGTAAAACAGAAAAAAGCAAGCGGACACATACGGGGCGAGGGGGACGGGGGTATAACATGAAACCTGAATTGATGTGAAAGGAATGACCTTTCATTTCCCAGATGACAAAGCACTTCCATGACCAACCTGGGAGTTAGAGCATATTCTCCCCCATTTTACAGATGTGGAAACTGAGGCTCAGAAGACTGACTTCTCACAGCTAATGGGCAGCCTAACTGAGGAAGAAAAACAGGCTTCACAGCTCTCTGACTTGCACTCCTAGGACGTATTAACCTAGAATTCTAATTGCAGGCAGAACTGTTTGCAAGGGAGTGACATGGGACAGAGATGTGGGTCCAGCCACATTTATGCCTCTCTGTGAAGTCAAAATGCTTTTTGAGGGCGATTTTTTGGGGAGCTGGCTGGCCTTGTGAGCATCAGGCTCCCCAGTCTGTTCCCGATCCAAGTGGGGCTCATTTCCTGCCACCATCCTCACCTCGGGCCTGTCTGCTTGGCGCGGCTATATGTCTGCTGGCCAAATTCCTACTCAGTGATTGAGTATTTTATTCTATAGCTGTCTAGACACACACTCCACAGGGGGACTTGGGGGAGATGAAATGCAGATATGGCTGGAAGCGCAAAGCCAGGCCTGGCCTTGACCTGCAGATGTGAAACACAGGCTGCTCATTCCAGGTCTATCCCTGCGCAGCTGTCCGCAGGCTAGTTCCCGTGCTGCCCACATCAAAGCCATTTCAAGGCTCCCGTCTGCAGACGCTGTCTGATCTCCTCTGAAGTGGGTCCTAGCCACAGGCCATCTTGGAGATGCCAGCCTTTCTCCTAACAGCCACTTCTCACATCTCACCATCTCACTGGAGCCTCGTATCATACCTACAAACTGAAAGGCAGACAGCCCTCCTCCACTTAGCAGAAGAGCCGGGGGAGGGGGCAGAATGGGGCACGCAGCCCCGTTCAGCAAGTCTGTGTGTGCCAAGCAGGGAGGTGGGAGAGCTCCTCAGGAGCAAAGGCAGAACTCCGAGTCCGCGTCAGAGCTGAGATGGAGCCCTCAGGCCCCACCCGAGAGCCTGTTCTTCCAGGAGGAGGGACACCCCAAAGGGAGCCCATCACACTGCCAGTTCTCAAGGTCACACTCATGCTCATGAGAGGTGGGAGCCTGGGGGGCCAAAGAAAAGAGGGATGTCCAGGTTGAAATGCACACCCGCCCGCAACTGCAAGTACTCACTAATGCGAAATGACAGCCTCACAGCAGAGCCAACGAGAATGACTTGAAGGAACCATGAATCCCGCTGATACCCGAGTTGTCTACCCACTGCCACCCAGGTGGATGGAGAAACAGCCCGGGGAGGGTGTCAGAAGCCCTGGGTGTGGACTCCATGGCTATGCTAAATGACTAGATAGATACTAGCCGCAGGCAGGATCCTAATTGTGTGGTCGAGTTAAGGCCAAAACTTGGAAGAGGTTGGGACACACTATGATTAGAGAAGGCTCTTGCCGTTCATTTAGATCACGACAAACAAACAACAGCCAGCGGGCCTGGCAGCACTGCTCCCATGGGACACTGCCACCGTGAAAGAGAGCTTCTCAAAGAGAAGCATTCACTGAGCATGTCCTACCTGCCTGGTACGGCGAACTCAGAAGGTCAAGGAAATCCACCCGTGCCCTCCAGGCTCACTGTCTGATGGGTAGAGAGTCAAACAAGCCACCAGGACAACAGTAAAAAGAAACAAAGTCCAAATCTCCATCACCAGGGCCAGCTCAGCCCAGAACCTTCCATAAGGGCTACATATAGAGCAACACTAAAAATGAGTTGGGTGTTTTCAGTGGCAAGTTGCAGAAAACCCAACCCCAAATGGAATAAATGTCCACCTGTTCAGGGCAGGGTGGTGCCGGGACTGATCACTTCAAAGGCTCAAGGACAATGTAAGAAGAGGTTCGTCCTTCTTCTGTGTGACCAAGTTCAGGCTGTTCTCATGCTCAGAAGACGGCCATCGCCATGCCAGGCATCACATAAAAACAATGTCCAGTGGAAGTAAAGACCTTTTCTCCCGTGTGTCTCTTCATAAGAGCAGAGACTCCTAAAGGACCCAGCTCATTCCTCAGGGGTCATCAGCCAGCATCCGGGTGGAAAGATGTCCTCAACCACCCATTGGTGAGGGGAAGTTGACCCTGTGATGGCCTTAGGCCCCTCAGGATTTGCCTGCATCAGGGATGGGATGGGTCAGGGGTGGACGTCAAACAAACTCAGGGCTCTGCCAGCAAAGAGAGGAAGGCCGCGGGGTGGGCTACCA